GGAGCCTATCAAGAACCCCGAGGCAAACAGAGGAAGGCTCTAGACCATATATGGCAGCAATACTCTATGCAAGGGTGAATTGTTGATTTCTCTTGGAATTCAAAAACAAGTTACTCTATTTTATGATAGAAACCTGAAATAAGAAATGCACCCACAAAAGTGGGGTTTACCATGTATTAATTTATTATGAAAACAAAAAACCCTCACACATACAGAGGTATCTGAATTGGATCCATCATTGAGAAAGTATTAATGAAGATTATATTAATGTGGAGTAACTGATAGCGGCCAAGGTTGAGGAATCGGAGAGCCGAGTTCGAATTCCAGTCGAATCCATTACATTCACTTAAGTGCTAATACCCTTGGGTAAGGCATGAATCCTCTTCTCCCGGTTCCCTCAGCAACTGGTCTAGCGCAGAAAGAAATGGCAACCTACTGCGGTGAAAAATCTACCGTGCCAGTCATGTATCGAAAGATCATAACTGACTGATATTAACTAGGCTCTCATCGTTTCATGAACGTCAACTCCTCTCAACCCAGTTTGCTTTTCGTTCTGGAAAGGGGCGTCAGCGATGGAAAATATCATCAACCAACGCCAAGAAATGACCTATCAAATAGGAAACTGTGTTATGGGACCTTACCCATAATAACATAATGGACTATTCCATACGTAATAAATACTGCGCCTCTAGAGGAAGCAGGGATTTCAGTCCGAAGTCGGGCGACAGGCTGATCGGTTGAACTTTCTGCCTTCGGGAGGGGAGGAACCCGAACGAGGCTACGCCGAAGAGCGGAGTCTCTTTCGGGGAGGGAAACCGACACTGAACCCGTTTATACGGGTTCAAAGGGCATATTTTTGGCCGAGCCCACGTGCTCGGAGATCCCACGTTAAACCAGCTTTGTGACACATGATGCCTTCGTGGGGCGGGGGTGACTAAATACCGTTCAGTCTGAAGTCTGGAGTGAGGTCCGTCAGAAGTCCGTTAGAGCGAGTCAGTCAGTCGAGTCAGAGGCAGTCCGAAACAGAGTCGCGTTCAGACCATTACTACTAAACCTGATTGTTCGTACTCACACTTTCTACTTCTCTGTATATATTCCTGTTTGTAATAAATCTGTGTTATTCCATATCCGTGTTCGAGTTCTTCTTTATTGGTTCTACCTTGGACTATTACCGTGGTACAAGGAACCGGACTATAACAAACTGTATACCGTCGTTGTCGACCTCACATCAGCATATGACCCCATGAATTGAAACTCCGTCTTCTTATTCATTAGAAACTGATTTCTAATCCCCGGATGCAATGAATACATCGATCTAATAGAGCGACTGCATCAACCAACATTCGGCCACAAAGAAGCATCTGGTTAGCAATGTTCGAATTACTGTTTATAAACAACTTCGACGGGCATATCTGTCCACGAAAGGTACCTTAACGTAAACAATGACAACATATTATGAAATGGATAAAGTACGACAATTAACAGCACATCAGATCAAATGATGGTTCCCGATAGGGTTACAGATTCCTGTCGGAGAAGCACATATTTTCTATGAAATTTCTCGGACATTTTGGCCGTTAAATGTAATTAATACTGTTTATTTAAAGATAGTCGAAGATTTTTTTTGAAAACAGTTATTTGGACTTTGTTAACCGGGCGCTTCTCTGTAGCTGAGTGGTATAGCACGTCAGATCAGTTGATGGTTCCGTATATATATATATATATATATATATATATATATATATATATATATATATATATATATATACATATGAAAAGTGTATATAAATATAAATAAATATAAGTATGTATAATTATTTATATATTATATACGCAGTACTTATTAGAAAGCGCTCAATATCAGAGATAGAGCTAACATATTTGGTTGGATAGATGTGAGTTTGTGACCTGGGTTACACGCTTTAGCGATCGTCAGACAAAGCGTGAAACCCAGGGTCACAAACTCACATCTATCCAACAAATATGTATATATATATATATATATATATATATATATATATATATATATATATGAAGAAATATAGTTTTAAGGTGTGCTTTATTTATTGGATAAATTGCTCAATATTAGAAATAGAGCGTATGTAAATATAAATATAAAAGTGAACACTGGTCAACACTCAGAGGCGACAGGCTCTTTCATGCTAAACGATTGCGTCTAGCATGAAACAGCCTTTCGCCTCTGAATGTTCACTTGTATATATATATATATATATATATGGTCAAAAATCCATATAAACCTATGTCCGAAAATCCTTCGTTTTTCAGTTATTAAATGTAAAGTTTAGCCTATAGAATGTGTTCTTCGTGGTCTGGCTTACGAGCGGAACTCGATCTTCCTCAAGTGAATTCGAACTCGGCTCTCCGATTCCTCAACGTCAGCCGCTCTCTCTCTCTCTCTCTCTCTCAGTGTGTCTCTCTATCTCTCTTTCTCTGTATCTATCTATCTATCTATCTATCTATCTATCTATCTATCTATACTGTTTCGCTGTATCACAGCTCATCAGTGTGGCTAAACAACCGAATGCCTCAAGCGGAAGGAGAAGGTGAATTTCTGCGTATTTTATTCTTTTGAATAAACTGGATCGAGGAAGACTACCCACACTTCTCTGTGACTCCTGCTCACGAATCTTCAGGAGTAGGAGATGCGAGCGGATGCCGACGACGAATACTTTTGAACTATTACCAATGTTTTTATTTTTTAGAATCCAGGTGTTGTTTTAAGAAAGCTATCAGACATTGTGAGTAGATAGATTCGGTATTGCCAACTCTATGTAAATAAAGCGCAGTGCACGTGTGTCCGTCCGTCCGTCCGTTTTTCAATCTCGGCGAATAATAAACAACCCGAAGTAAGTCGTAGTGATTACTGTCGTTACAGTTAATAAATAAATAAATAAATAAATAACACTTTTAAAGTTAAATTTAAATATCGAACAGAGTGAAATGTTTTTAAAAAATGCTTTATTAAAGGTTTAACTATAATTTCTCTTTTCGTCGTAAATGCAATTGATATCGTATAATTAAACCGTAATTATAACTTGTTGAAACTTGATTAATGCATGGAATAATAATGCAACATAGAAGGTACTTAGAACAAAATGTATTGAAACAAGAAAGTGTACATAATATTTACATATAGTCTTTTGTATATTCCTAGTAAGACCGTTCCTGGAGAATGTGTTGACTGAGTCGCAGTCGGGCAGAGTCTCGGGTTGAATCTCTTGATTCCTCACTCTCTTCCCGGTACCAACCATATTTATATGGTCGGTACTCCACTATTCAAATTAGGTGGATCCTACCACAACAAAACTCAAGTGAGATATCGTTTTTTTTTGTTTTTTTTTCTTGTAGCACGCTTACTGAGACGTATTCGAAATATTACATAGTTCGAGTTGCCTAAAATCTTTTAAGAGTGACTTCATGTGAAGGGATCACGAAGAATGGTGGTTTTAAAATTTGTGCACAAAAAAAAATGTAAACAAACTATGGAGATCGGTTGCGTATACGAAGAAAGATTATGCCGAATCAAGGTTTTGAATAAAGATAAAATCATTTTATTATTTCAATATTCTTATAACTTTTACGTACATAGGACGCTGAAGATAAAAGGCCGAAGGCCCAAAAGCAGGAGGTAACCTAAAGTCCGCCAGGAAGGTCTTCTTCTTGGCTAGTAAATAAATAAAGAAAACAGAAGAAATGGAACAGATTCTCAGTGACTTTACTGAGCGAATGAAAATTATACGTCAGCCCCTTTTCAGGAAATAAACATGAGAAACACGTCTACACAAACTTCATCGAACCAATCTTCAAAAACGCCAACATACGGGTTGACTAGTCTCGGTTCGGTTCAAAATTCCAACAACTATGACCTGAAGAAGGCCGGAGCGTACAGCGGCCGAACACGTTGTGAATGTGACAATAAAGTTGAGGACAACAGTCCGAACAATGTAAATAGTGTAAATGATTACAATATCTCATCTCAGAAATATAGACAGATAAAGGGTTTCACTTCAAAATTCCCCGAAGGTTACTCAGATTGACAGACACCTGAAAATAAGCATGGGAAGAACGCCTACACAAACGTAATCGAACCAATCTTCAGAAACTCCACCATGCAGACTGAAACTCTCTGTTCAGTTCGAAGTTCCAACGGCCTTCTTCAGGTGATATTAGATGGAATTTCGAATCGACTAATTCCAACAAAAATCACCTGAAGAAGGCCGGGAGCGTTGAATGGCCGAAACGTTGTTAATATGACAATAAAGACAAGGACAACAGTCCGAACAATGTAAATAGTGTAAAACGAAAAGTAAATACTTTACGTATTATTATACTGGGATTTTAATTTCAAAGGATAAGGCAAGAGATTTGGGTTGGATCCAAATTTCTTTGTTTGGAAGAAAATATTCAAGAGGAAAGGGACTCTTTAATTGGCCAGCATTCTGTTTTGAAACGCTTCCTGGCACGCTACACAATTCAAAATTTCTGCCAGTTTAACGATTTTTTTCTTCGTTTCCATTCTTTTTTTTTTTTCTTCAAATATATCAATCGCATTTTTTTGTCTTTCATATCTCAATTGCTATCGATGATTTCTTTTTTTATATATATATATATATATATATATATATATATATATATATATATATATATATATATATATACAGTTAACGGAAAATTATTGACCAGCTTTCTATTGATAGAAAAGTATCTATTTAAATTGCAGAAAGATTTAGACAATATTAAATGATTAGAAATTGCCGGTTGATGCCAGAGGCGATAATTTGCGTCTTGGCCCAGTCTCTTCAAACCGTACAAATCCTAACGCGCAAATTGTGACCGGGGGGGGGAGAGAGATATTGAACGAAGTTTGTTTCTCTTGTCTGTAAGAGATGTATACATTTATAATGCCTCAATTGCCACGGCTTTGATGTAAAAGGTGCGGCAGTTATTTGAGAACACGTATTTAGTAGGCTAACAAGCGAATGCCTGCGCGGCTGAATGGTTACAGCGTCAGCGTTCGGAACGTGAGGATTGGATTTCGGAATCGTAATTGAGTCGAGAGGCTGATTTCTTTTTCTTTTTTATTGTTAGTTCATCCAATACAAGTTACTTAACAGGACAGGTGCACGTGCTTAACCGATGAAAAACACGTAACACAAAAATAAATAAAAAAAGGCCAGAATTTTCTTGTTTCCTCATATCTAATTTTCTGATGAAGTTTAAATACAAGCGAAACATGTTCAATTTATAAACGTTTCTTATTTGTTCCTTATTTTATCATAAAAAGGTGCGCCAGCTATTTGAGAAAACGTATTTTCTCAGGCTGACAACTTAGCCGAATGGTTACAGCGTCAACGTTTGGAACGTGAGACCTAGGTTTGGGAATCATACCTTAGTGGAGAGGCTGATTTCATTTTCTTTTTTTTTTTTTTTTTTTTATTGGTAGTTTATCCAGTACAAGTTATTTGACAGGACAGATGCACGTGAGGTCTGCTTAACCAATGAAAAACACATAACACGAAAATTAAAAAAAAGGCCAGAATTTTCTTGTTTTCTCCATATTTAATTTTCTGATGAAGTTTAAATGCAAGCGAAACATGTTCAATTTATTAAGTTTACTATTTATTCCTTATTTTATCATAAAAGGTGCGGCAGCTATTTGAGAACACGTATTTCGCAGGCTGACAAAATGTTCTTTATTTAACGGTTGTATACTAATTTAACAAAGTAGTTCTGTATTCTTGATTCGTTTTTGTTTTTCGCACGGTTGTTTGCCAGTTTTTTTTTGTTTTTTTTAAGCCGTCTTGTATTTATCAACTACAAAATTTTATCTAAGAATCTGGACGAAACGCCTAACATTATTTTAAAATTACCTCCTCATCTCTTTCGCTTTTTTTTATCTTGGTAAGTTTTAGCGTCTGGTTTCGATACACCTTACGAAACAATGTATCACTCTATATCTGCCCATAAGGAAATTATCAAGGTTTTTATATGCAGACAACTTCGGGTCATCACTTATATTAAATTTTTTTCCGGTGAATTTGAATTTAGGGTAGGGCACATTCGACAACGACAAGTTCTGCTTTTTGAAATCAAATTAATCTTTCACTCGCCAGTAGTTTAACATTGCCTGAAGAGGCACATTCATGATGTTGATACATAATTGTAATTGTGTAGCGATTTTTAACATTTTTTTCATATCCTAAACTAAATAATATTCAGCTCTACTATGTAATGAGCCCTCTTTTAAATTAAATGTTACATCCAGTGGAATCATACTCCATTTGTTCTCGTTTTACCTGGATATATATATATATATATATATATATATATATATATATATATATATATATATAGGAATAAAGTGTCGCTGCCGATACTTGAGTTTGAACATAAATCGCCAGTGAGCAAACACAGGCAATGACATTATTGAATTAAGTAGAGGAAACGCATATATGTAGGAAGTAGCTAACGATTAACGATTGTCATTTCTAGTCTATCCTCTATTGCTATTCGGATCACCATTTCTAGTCTATCCTCTATTACTATATGGACCGCTATTCTCTACTCTATTCACTATACTATTTCTCTATTCAGATCACTATACGGTGGTTACTTTTCGAGTGAATATTATCGAGCAAGTACTATTAGTGGGAGTGATATTCGAAGGCGTCTGACACCAGTATTGTTCAACGGTGTTACTATAGTTGTATCTGCGATTACAAAGTCTCTACTACAACGAGCATTACAAAAGTGACAACGAGTATTCGTTGTCACCACAAAAGTAGCAACGAGTTGACATAACAATATATATATATATATATATATATATATGTGTGTGTGTGTGTGTGTGTGTGTGTGTGTGTGTGTGTGTGTGTGTGTGTGTGCAAATATATAGAAAAATAAGAAAGAACACGTTAGGTAAATAATCTGGAGTTCTTTAGTAGTTTTGTTTTTATTTTTAAAAAACAGTGGTCAATACAAAAGTAGACCTTAAATTTTAATATATATATATATATATATATATATATATATATATATATATATATATATATATATATATATATATATATATATATATATATATATATATATTAATGGGAAAACTTAACACATCGCGAAGAATTCGGTAATAAATTTATTTCCACAGATAAGTTTTTAATATCTGCCTCATCTGACCGAAATTACAAAATGGTTTAAATTTATCCAGACAATATGTTTAAAAAATTTATAAATATATCACAAGAGAACAGGAAGTAAAGTCTGACCTGCAAAAATTTATCTGAAGAGGAACTCTATCCCTGATATTGAGCACTATAACCCATAAACATAGCATACCGTAAAACTATTGCTGTTAATTGATGGCGTAAGGTTTTCATGATAATTTTTTTTCGATACATGACTGACGAGGCAGATTTTTTCATGCAGCAGGTTGCCATTTTCTTCTGCAGTAGACCAGTTGCCATCCAAGGCTATAGCACC